TTTTTTTACTTAAATTAAATTTATTTATAAAATAACTAAAATTTCCTTAAATTAAAAGGCATTTGAAGTTATTTGACAAGTTTTCTTTTGTTAGAAATAGATAATTTATTTGATGAAAAAAAAAAGGAGAAAAAAGAGAAAAAGAGAAAAAGAGAGCAATTGCAAAAAGCATCAAGACTCCCGTTAATTCTCAAAGTTTCAATCCCTACCCAGAGAAGTCTCAACTCCCGTAAATTCCAAATCCTTGCTAAGAAAGAAAAATCTCAAAAACAAATCTCAAATGTCGTAAAGAACAACATCAAACTAAGGCCTTTACCATTTCGAATCCAATTGTCAATTAAAGGATTAATGATGTTCCAACACATGTCATTAGTTAAAGTTAAAGCATGTACACAGCACTCCAAATCAGAATTCGTTTCCCATTTTTTTGTTATTTGTATTTATTATTTTACAAATTAATATATATTATTTTTATTTTTAATTTTGAATACGTTGTCAAGGAACGAGCTCGAAACCCGCTCATTGAGAAGGGAGAATGTACCTTAACCTGGCAGGTTGCCAGTATACCAGTTGGTCCGAAGGGTCATGTGCAATTAATATATATTATTTAATTTTATAGATTTAGTGATTATATATAGATCCACCTATGATATTAAATGTTAGAACTTAAATATTTTAGTAAAAAATAAAATAATATATTTTATAAATTAAATTTATTATTCCATTAAGCATTTAGTCAAACTAGCTGTTATATATTAATTATCTTATTTAAGTATACATTATTACATAATAATTACCCAATTTACTCCTATTATTAACCTACAAATAGAAATTATATGATCATGAGTTTTATAAATAGGATGTGTCATTTTATTCAATAATGGTAAAGTTCCTCCACATTCTCTTATTTTTCTTACTTTATTTTGTCTTCTAATTATTTTTGGGTAAAGAAGGATGTTTTGAGTTAAATGACTTTATGAGTAGTGCAGATTCATAAAATGCTATTATAAAACTATAGCATCTTGGGAGCGACATACTATGTACATCTCTGCTGCATCGGTTAATCTACTTTCTGCAAAAACATGAATCACCTTAAAGTAAGTAAGTTTTTTCATGCCTATTTGGTGATATTTTGTTATTAATATTTTCTGATAAGTTCACTAATTATTATTTTATTTGATCTTGTGATTGAAATACAACAATGACATGATGTAGAGATGAAAGAGAGTGTTTGAGGAACAACATTATATGCATCTATTCATTTAATACCATATCATACTAATTTAATATTACGTCATGATTATAAACTTATAATCTCTCATAATATTCTCCTATTTTTCTTACCTTACTTTATCTTCTAAATCTTCTTGAGTAGTTTTGAACCAGGCTTTATGGCCTAGTGGATCGTCCCTAAGCCTTAAGTGCTTAGGTGGAGTTGGTTGAAAGTTCGACTTCTACCAACGCTTTGAAAAAATATCCCCATCCCTCAAATTCCCCAATGTTAAAAAAGAAAAAAAAGAAAAAAAAAGAAGAAGGGTGTTTTGAGTTGGGTGACTCTATGAGTAGTGCATATTTATAGAGTGTTATTATAAAGATAAAGCATCCTAGGGGCGACATGTTATGTCTATTTTTACTGCATCGGTCAATATATTCTCTATAGAGGCATAAATCGCCTTAAAATATGTAAGTTTTTCACACCTATTTTGGTGATATTTATTATTAATATTTTGTGATAAGTTTATTAATTATTATTTTATTTGATATTGTGACTAAGACACAACAATGACATGATGTGAAGATGAAGAAGAATGTTTGAGGAACAACAATACATGCATCTATTCATTCAATACTATATCATACTAATTTAACATTATGTCATAATTATAAATTTATATCTGCCATAATATTATAACTATAACATTGTCGTTAAATTGTTTATATATTTTACAATTTTACATGATGTTTTTATATACTAGTAGACAATTAAAATTTTATTTTATATGCACTTTTTTTATTCTAAAATAATTGTTATTTTTTAACTTTATCTCTAAATTAACGATTTAAAAACTTGTTATATATTTATATATAAGGTTTTTATAACCTATGCATTTTAAGGCACAGGTTAACATTACAATTATTGCACTTTTTTCACATTAATTAATATTAAAAATAAAAAATTATCATTAATTTTATCACTAGTGCCACACATTAATTATTTTAATTAAATAGCTACTTAAATAAAGATCAATTTTTATTTTTTTAATACTAATTAATTTAAAAACAGTGCAATAATTATACTCTTTTAGGTGCAAGTTAGAAAAACCCATATATATATATATATATATATGTTACCCGAAAAAGCTACTCCCTCCATTTATTTTTTGTAATCCTAGTTTGATTTTTTGGACTTTTCAAATATAAATTTTAGATAAAAATTTAACAACTTATATAAATATAATTAATTTTTTTTTTCTTTATGTA